ATTCTTTCTATTGTTTTTCTGTTCTCTATTTCATTGATTTCTGCTCTGATCTTTACTATTTCCTTTCTTCCGGTGGCTGTGGGCTTTTTTTTCTGTTCTCTTTCTATTTGTTTGAGTTGTGTAGTTAATGTTCTGATTTTGTCCCTTTCTTCTTTTTTGATGTGTGCATCTATTGCTATAAATTGCTGTGCCCCAAAGGTTTTGGTATGATGTGTTTTCATTCTCATTGGATTCTAGGAATTTTTTGATTCCTTCTCTGATTTCTTCTATTACCCAATGATGTGTAAGCAGGGTATTATTCAGTTTCTATGTAATTGATTTTTTTTCCTTGCTCTTTCTGTTGTTAATTTCTACCTTGATGGCATCATGGTCAGAGAAGATACTTTGAATTATCTCAACGTTTTGGATCTTGTTGAGGATTGCTCTGTGGCCTAAGATGTGGTCTATTCTAGAGAATGTTCCATGTGCATTGGAAAAGAATGTGTACTTTGCAGCGGTTGGATGGAGTGTTCTATATATGTCTAGGGGGTCCAGTTGGCTGATTGTGCCCTTTAGGTCTTCTGTATCTTTGCTGAGTTTCTTCTTATTTGCTCTGTCCTTTACTGAGAGTGGTGTGTTGAAGTCTCCTACTATTATTGTGGAACTGTCAATTTCTCTTTTCAGTGTTGTTAGTAAATATGTTATTTTTCATAGCATGAATATGAAACTGTCCTTAGTACCATTTCTATTTTGAAAGGAAAATGAGCTGCCATTAATAAGTTGTCATTTTTGAGCCCTTGGGAAATGCTAGGTGCTGTGCCTACCTGTTCTAATTCTCCCAGCAACCCTGCAATGTAGGTATATCCATCACCTTCCTTACTCATTTTTTCATACAACTGATGTTTTGCTTATTGAGCTTCTCCTATGTGCCAGGCAATGTCCTAGGCACAGGATATATGGCGATGACTAAAGTAGACAAAAAACCTCCACCCTCATGCAGCTTACATGCTAATGGAACCCAAGGATTGTAGAGATTAAAAAACTTCCCATGAGGCACGTGGAAATGGCAAGTTTGGAATTCGTGCCCAGCTCCCTGTGACACCAGAGCTCAAGTTTTTTCCACTGCACCATGTTGCCACTTAGAGTTAAACCATAAAGAAGATTTCCTTTCTTTCAGGAATACTATTACATGTTAATAATATAACACTCAAATGAGATAGTTCTTTAAGCAGAAGATACATTTCCATAAAAGAAAATTGTATGTTAAAAAGAAGTGCTATGATTTTAAAAAGGTAACTTAATTTGTGTTTTTAATCCATATATATGTTACACCAAAAAATTACCAGAATTGAATAATCTGTTTAACACACTAAAAATCTCTCTTGGCTTTAGAAATATAAAAATGAATGAAGATACATTCAGGTAGATTCAGACTCTCTGTGTGGTTTCCTTTGGGACCAGCCTGAACACAAAGTTCTTTGAAAATCAGAGTTACCCGTTATATATTTTTTGAACAGTTATCTTTCCAGCATTATTGTGCTAGTATCTTTTAAGACCTCCCAGATCATGTTGTTATAATATAAGTAAAATTGTTTTTGCTTGAAATTTGTGTCTAAAAGATAATACCCCAGTCAAAATAATGTCTCTGTGGTATGTTACAAATAGTTTTCCCAAGCTATATGGAGATGGCTGTTTTAGCGTGCAGATGTCATTTTATATTTATAATACTATCAGTGACAGGAAAAGAAAACATAAGCTTATGAATTCATAACTAGACAGCTTTGGTGGAACATCAGTTATTTATATAATTGGTTATTTTATCTTTCTCATGTATTTTTCACAGTTGAACTATAATCCAGGTGAGAGAATTTAAAATCAAAGTAGCATAATCAAGCAATTTGACTTTTAAGAACCCTTTGAGTTTTTACAGTGTCTGTAGTATGTCTCTTTTTACTTCTTTACTCATTTTTTTCCTGGTCTTCTTCTGGTGTTTCTTACAGATTGGAGATCTACAGAGAAGCTATGTTGCTGCTAAAAAGTCTGAAGCAGCATTTCCAGACCATGTGGACACACAGCATTTAATTAAACAGTTAAAGCAGCACTTTGCTATGCTCTGATTATCCTTAGACCAAATATGTTCTTAGCAAGGGGCATTCTACAAGGGAAAGAGAGGCGTGTGTGTGTGTGTGTGTGTGTGTGTGTGTGTGTGTGTGTGTGTGTGTGTGTGTGTGTGTGTGTATGTGTGTGTGACTAAAATACAGATACCTGCTTGATAGGACTGAAGGTGGCACATAAAAGAATGTAAACCGGAATGTATAATAAAAATTTTATAACAATAGTAAGTTTATAAGATAACAATATTATAAAATATGGTGCCTAAGCATTTGTAATTGGACCGTGAAATCATTTCTCATACTGTATGGTAGCTGTATTGTTTGTGATGTTTAAAAAACATTTTAATGAATTTCTTCAGATTTTTATAAATGCACGTCTTTAATGTTCTTAAGCTGGCCATTAGCAATCATGTAGACTTAGAGGTCTTTAAAACTGTACTTTTATGACTAAAAGTGTGTGCTTATCTTTATTTAAAGCTTAAAATTGTATTTAAAACTATTTTTTATTCTTTGTTAGACACTTCACATTTTCTTATATATTGTGCTTTAAAATAAATCAGTGTGCATACACCATCATTTCTGTATTTTTCGCAAGTTTTTATTTAATTCGTTTCAGATAAAACAAGTTTTTCAGAAATCCAATAATCTTAGAAACTTAGTCATTATTTTAATTTTATTTGAAATGGTGTGCTGCCAATTTTTCTAAAAAGGTATTTATGGGATATGACATTGTTAATACAAGAAAAGAAAAGCAGGATTAGACATGGAGTGACAGGCCAGGACTCCTACCTGTGGTCAGCCCCAGGAAGGCTAGACTTTGTCCCAATACCTAGGTGTTGTAAATCCGGGAAAAGCTCTCGAACTTTACTCTGCCTTGCTTAGTGGAACTCTCATTAAAGTGTTCACACAGGAAATATATTAAAGGGATAGGGTCACTCAAACTCATGCTTTGGACTTTGGGATCTGTCCATGTTACTTTTCATTTTCTTAACTTCATGAAAATTATTTGATATTTGTTGATATTCTGTTCAAATTCTGTTATGTTCTGACAGAACAGAAAAAGTTGAATTCAAGGAACTATAGGTTGTTAGAGGCTGGAAGTGAAGGAACCTTGGTAGCACAATGGTTAAGCGCTTGGTTGCTAACTGAAAGGTCAGCAGTTCAAACCTACCAGCGGCATCACCGGAGAGAAGACCTGGCGTTCTGATTCCATAAAGATTACGGCCTAGGAAACCCTTGGGGCAGTTCTACTCTGTCCTATAGGGTTGCTATGAGTTGGAATCCACTCCATGGCATACAACAACCGAGGCTGGAAGTAATTCAGCGAATATACAGATGAATCCCTTTGTGGTACAGATGAAAGTGAGGCCCAGAGTCACACAGCTAGCTGGGGGTACAGTCACGACTAGAACCGAAGATCTTGTTCCTCCACTTTAGACTTGAACCTTTCCTGGTTTTCCGTGATATGTTAGTGCCTGTTTAGCTCTTGAGAAAATGCACCTCCATATTTTCTAATACTGCCTTCAATATTTAGATTCCAAGTTTATAATGTGAATTATTTTCTTAGTGTTAGTTAATTTAAAATAGCAGCTAATAATAATGCCTAACATTTACTGAGACCATCCTATATGCCTGGCACTGTTCTAAGCACTTTATGTGAATTAATTCATTTAATTCCCACTGTAGTCCTATGAAGTGCTGTTATTATTTCCAGTTTACTGATGAGAAAACTGAGGCATAGAGAAATGAAGTAACTTGTCCAAGGCTATACATCTAGTCAGTGGCAGAGCTGGGATTCAAACCCATGGCTTCCAAGTATGTGCCGTTAACTACTATGCTAAATCTCCCCTCAGTGTTCCTCCTGTAGATATACTATCATAAATTAAAAATGAATATTACACTCATTAGTAATTTTGAATATGATAATAAGGGAATATTAACACAAAAAAATGAATCTATTCCTGAGGTGATATGAAGAGATTTTGTCTTGAATTTCCGTCAACTCAGTGTGAACACCAGTGCAAAGAGTGAGTCAGGATGGCTGAGGGCAAAATGATGACGTAACAACACTGTGCGTCAGAAGCCAAGTCTGTCTTTGTAACAACTTTATTTCTGGACTGCATAACCCCTGGCTTCTGTGGCAGCATTTCTACAGAAGGAACATTAACAATTGTCTTCTACCATGGCTAAAGAGGTGTTCATTCCATAGATACAAATTGTTAAACAAAATTAGCACCATTAAGCTTTCTTCCAATCGATGAAAATAAAATCTAGCAAGAGAGCTGCCTGCACTGAATAATTGCTGAGGCTGGAAGTGCACCCTCTGCAAATACACCACTTCTGAACAAGTCCTCTGGTAGTAACTGTTCCGCTACATTTCTGAATGGTGCTTCCCAGGATCAGAGCACCCACCATTATAGGCTAGAGATAAGAAAGTAAACATAACCGCTACACTTAAGTAGTTCTCACTACCAACTCTTCATTAATATGAGGGATTTTTGTTAAGAGCTTTCAGCTGGGATGTTCAGAATGTTAAATGTTCAGAAAACAACCGAGATTTTTAAAAATACTGTGGTAGGACTCACTTCTGAAAATAATGAACCCAGAAACTGAGTTTATGTAAAAGGCCATTACCGTGTAGTTTTTAATTCTTGGGACTAGGTAGATTGGAATGGTCTGTGGGTATGTTCCAGAATTCCGAAATGGTCACCTAGGCTCAGATTTTAGAAAACAATATATTGAGTCAGCAAATTGGAAATAACTGCAGTTTCACTTCCTCCCATATAGATGGCATTAGTCCTATTTTTGCTGAATTAAAAACTTAAAAAACATTTTTGAGAGATGCTGTCATTTCACTTCTCCCAAATGTTAAAGTCAATTTCTTGATATTACAGAATAGGTGTATCATAATCTTATAATCCATATTTCTTGCAATATGATCCTTTCCCTTACTTGAATCTAATTCTAACTAATGAGGAGGAATTAGTTGGTAAAATGAAAATGAAGGGAATTCTTGGAGAAAGCAACCATGTTATCTTAGAGAAGAAAAGGCTAGACCTAGACAAACTTTAAGAAGAAAGGTTCTTTTTTCTTTTTTTTTTTTTAAATCAGAGAAAGTGTAGACCCTATTCCAGTGTGTGAAGCTGAAGTTGCATTGGCTTCAGTACCTTCTTCCATCCATTGCAATTCTCATTGTCCCCTGCCCTACTCCATCTCTGATCCAATAGCTTCAATTTCTTTCTTTCTACTGGATTTTGATCTCTTTTTTAAAAAATCTCATGCTCCTCTTAAGCCTGTCCCCTCTCTAGTGCCACCCTATCTCCTTTGTGACATCATCTTGAAAGGGCAGGTGACATATGTTGCCTACTTCCTCACCTCCCGTTCATTTCTTGACCCTCTTGGATCTGGCATCTACTACCACTACTCTACTGAAACAGCGCTCAATGAGGTCACCAGTGACTCCTACCTAGAAAATCCAAAGGTTACTTTTTTTTTTTTTTGTCATTTAAGGGCTTTATTGAGATATAATTCGCATACCTTAAAGTGTACCATTCAATGAGTTTTGGTATATTCACAGTAGAATAATAATCACTACAATAAATTTTAAAACATTTTTGATGTTGTGTGCTGTCAAGTTGATTCTGACTCATAGCCACCCTATAGGACAGAGTATAGGACAGAGTAGAACTTCATAGGGTTTCCAAGGCTATAAATCTTTACAGAAGCAGATTGCCACATCTTTCTCCCAAGGAGCGGCTGGTGAGTTCGAACAATTGACCTTTTGCTTAGCAGCCGAGCACTTAACCACTGTGCTACCAGGGCTCCTTAAAATTTTTTCATCACTCCAAAAAGAAAGCATTTACTCATTAGCAGTCACTTCCCACATCCCCTCAACCCCACCCCCAGCCCGCCCTAGGCAACCACAGATCTACTTTCTCTCTAAATTTGCCTATCCTGAATATTTCATATAAATGGATCATATAATATGAAATGATCATATAAATGGTCTTTTGTGAAAAACTTCTTTCACTTAGCAGGTTTTCAAGATTCATCCATGTTGTAGCAAGTATCGTAGTACATTCCTTTTTATTGCTGGCTGAATGACATTTCATTGTATGAATATACCCACTTTATTTATCCATTCATCACTTGATGGACATTTAGGTTGTTGCCACTTTTTGGATGGAGAATGCTGCTGTGAACATTTGTGTACAAGTTTTTGTGTGGACGTGTTTTCATTTCTCTTTGTAGTAACTCTTCCGTTCATTTCTGATTAGTACTTCCGAGGGTCAGATCACCCATCATAGTTTATAGCCTCTCACTGAGGTCACCAAGGAATGGAATTGCTGAGTCATATGATACCTCTACGTTTAACAGTTTGAAGAACTGCCAGACTGTTTTACAAAGTGACTGCACTATTTTACATTTCCACCATCAGTTTATGAGGGTTTCAGTTTCTCCACATCCTTGCCCACACATGTTACTGTCTTTTGGATCATAGCTAGGCTAGTGGGTATGAAGTGTTATCTCATTGTGGTTTTGATTTGCATTTCCCTGATGGCTAATGATGTTGAACATCTTTTAGTGTACTTATTAGTCATTTGCATATCTTCTTTGGAGAAACATCTCTTCAGGTCTTTCGCCCATTTTTAAATGGGTTATGTGTCTTTTTTATGGGTTATATGAGTTCTTTATGTATACTCGCAACATGTTCCTTATCAGATATATGATTTATCTTCTCCCATTCTGTGGGGGATTTTTTTTTTTTCACTTTTCTTGACAATCTTGTCTATAACAATGAAATGTGACCTGGTTCCTGTGCCATCTTCATGATTGTCGATATGTTTGAGTCCATTGTTGTGACTATTGTGTCAATCCATCTCACTGAGGATTTCCCTCATTTTTGCTGACCCTCTACCAAATATGATGTCCTTCTCTAGTGATTGGTTTTTCCTGATGATGTGTCCAAAGCAAGCAAGCTGAAGTCTCACCATCCTTGCTTCAAAGGAGAATTCTGGTTGTATTTCTTCTAAGACCAATTTGTTAATTCTTCTGGCAGGCCATGGTATAGTTGATATTCTTCTTCAA